TGCTCTCTGCTGTTAATAGCTACTGTTGGGGACAGTTACCTCAGACAGTACTGATAGTTGGCATCTCTGGTGGACCTAGGCTTTTATTTTTGTTGCTCCACATCAGTAGGACATAGAAGAGAGCCAACAGCAGGTTATGGGCCCAGTCTATGCTAGTCTGTGCTAGTTTGAAATAGTTTGAATCCAGTTTAGACCAGCATTTCTGTTTTTGTTCCAGTTTGCATGTAGTTTTTGTTCCTAAGTTAAAGCCAGTATATCACAGGCTGTTTTGTGCTGCTGGGAGGCTAAAGGAAGAAACTGTGCCACAGAAGAACAGTGTTTGAAGTGTGCATTTTGTTTGTTTTTTCTGCGTATTTCAGCAAGGAACTAGCAGAGAGTATTTGGCTAATTTTGAGTTTCTGCCTGACCAGAAGAAACACTAAGCAACGAGGTTGTTGTTGTTGTTGTTGTTATTATTATTATTATTTTATTTTATTTTTATCCCGCCCCTCTGCAGCGCAATTGGGGTGGCGTACAATCTCAACAAGTTAAAAACATCTCAACAAGTTAAAACAAGATCCAACAATCCATTCCCTAACCCTCTCACCCCTTAAAAATATATTAAACTAATGCAGAATTTCTGTGTGATTTATTTTAGAAACAGCTTGCAGATATGGCTGGAGTCATAGCAACAATGAACTTTGGTAAATTAGACAACACTAATTATGCCACTTGGTCAGTGATGGTACAAAGTCTGCTTGTCTGAGAGAACTTGGTGAATTTATAACAAACCCACCCCTGAGACCATGGAGTGGCAGACAGAAGCGAGCTGACCAGAAAGCAAGAGCCACCATTATACTGTATACCATTATACAAGCTGACCAGGTTGTTTACACAAACAAAACCAATACAACGATGGAGTGCTGTCAGAGTTTGAGGGATATCTACCATAGGGACTCCTGTGTGCCCAAGATGATTTTGACAGCACCAAGTTGAAAGATGGTGAAGACGTAAAGCAACATTTGGGCAAACTCAGGGCTCTGTTCAATGAACTGCAAAACAGAGGCATACATTTCCCTGAGGCACAAAAAGTCTACATAGTACTTGGCAACCTGAATAATAGCTGGGACTTTTTGTTCCACAGTTTACAGTGTTTGCCAGAGGCAGAGCTGCCTTTCTATGCTCATATCTTGGAAGAGCAAGAGCGGAGGAGCTTTGAGGCTGGGAGTCATGGTCAGCAACATGCCAGGAGAGTAGATAAGGAGCAACACCTGACATCAGCATCTCAGGAGCAAGGTGAGGCTATGTGCAGCCTAGTGAGATGATGCTATTCATGTGGAAAGGAGGGGCATTTGAGAAGAAATTGTCCTTCCAAGTTTGGCCACAAGAGGAAGTAGAGACAGCAGCAACAGAAGCCTACAAACAAGTCCTCTCAGGCAGCTGGGCATGGCTTTCTGACTGCAGCTGTTTGTAAAGCTGAAGCCAAACAGGTGTGGCTGCTGGACTCTGGAACCACACATTATATGGTCCACTGTTTGGAGCTTTTGCATGATGTGAAGCCTTCAGCAGTCTCCGAAGTAGACTTGGCTGACGGAGCTCCAAGGAAGATGGAGAAGATGGGAACTGCTTTCATTCTCTGATTAGGAAAACACTTTTCCCAAGTTTTGTTTGTTTCAAGTTTAAAGAACTGTTTTTTGCATGTATCTACTTTGACTGGTGATGTTTGAAAGAAATGTTTGTCTTATTTCCAAGGATGGTAAGGTCTGTGCCAAGGATGATAAGCAGGACAAACCGTATTACCGGTACATGCATCCTCAGGCAGAGAAGCCAACATAGCCAATGTAACAATGTCCAACTTTCCCTTACATGATCATGTGCAAAGCAAAAAGCAGCTTCATTTATATACCGCTTCATATCGCGCATGGGATGTCTAAGCGGTTTACAACTGTGAGCTGTGCATTATCTGCATAGGGTGCTTGGACATGCCAGTTTTGCTATATTGGCACAGTGTGTCCAGAGCTTAAGGTATGGCCATGTCAAAAGTTTCTGGACTGCACTGTCTGCAAGAAGGTGAAAGTCAAGGCTTTTCCTGTTGTCCAGGAAATCCAAAGAATAACAAAGCAGCCCTTCCAGGTGGTTCATGGAGACCTTGGTGGACTGTTTAATGCAAGTGTGGGAGGTGCTCAATATATTTTTGTTTTGGTTGATCACTATACAAGATATAGGCTTGTGTATTTACTAAAAACCAAAGACCAGGCATTTACCAAATTCAAGTAGTGGGTAGCCATGGTGGAAAGGGAATTTCCCTTTAAAGTGGTAACAATAATCTCTGACAAAGAGGTGGAGAATTTCTTGGAAATGCTTTCCAGATTTGGCTAAGGACAAAGGGCAGTCAAGATAAAACACCAAACCCTCACAGCCCAGCTGAGTGAAGGGTGGGTTTATTGTAATCCATGAAGAACTGTATGCTGGTTGATACCCAAGCTCCTAGTAATTTGTGGGGCAAAGTTGTGATTTGTGCAAACCATGTCTTAAACAGAGTTTGGTGTTCTAGTGTTAACCGGACACCTTACTATATGTTGTACGGTAGGCAACCTTGTTTAAAATACCTGAGAGTTTTTGGACAGTTTGCCAATGTCCTAATCCCAAAGACCTTAAGGAGGAAAGGTCAGCCTAAGTGGCAAAGGTTGAAGTTTGTGGGATATATAGGTAATAAGTATTGCCCTAGGAAATTGACAAGTTGTGTTTGTAAAAAAATGTTAATTTTGAAACACAGAGTGGGTGGGAAAAGATTCATGCAAACCAGGACATGTTTGTTTGCCCACAAGTTCCAGAGGAGCCAATATTCACAAATGGAGGGGTGGAAATCAGGCAACCACTTCACAACATGCATAAGTAAAGAGTGAGGTCAGTAGTGTAGAAGACACTTAACCTTTCTATTTAATTCCCAAGTTGTGTAAGGGAAACAATGATGAAACTGAATTCTTTGTTGTACCAAGTGGAAAAATGTGTAGTGTCATATGTAACAATGTAAGTTGTGAACTGAAAATGCATAACTGTCCAGTAGAGGGGCAAGAGAGTGGGAATGCTGTATATGTGAACCATTGGATGCTGAAAATGTATTAAGAGACCAGAGTGAGGTAAGGTACAAGGCAGTACACAAAGAGCAGAAAATGCCAGATGGGTGTACCAAATACAAGGCAAGGAATAGGACTCAGAAAGGAGAAATAACTTTGAGTCATAAAGCAAGGACCAACCAGGTATTCAGACAGTGTAAAGGTCCTGTGGATTCTCAGACCTGCATAATGAATGGCAGAGGTAGAGAAATTAAATAGTTGCCTTACTGGTTTAAGTAAATGCTGTGAACAATAACCTGTATATTTGTGTAATCCTAATGTACTTCTAATGATTATGTTTTGTTTTTCTATAATTTCGCCATAACAAATTATTTTGTAGGGGATTGTTGGGAACAATGTTCCTAAAGATGTTGCAAAATAGGTTGTATGGCTGGAAATGATAAGTAACACCAGGTGGCAACTCTTAGCTATCGCTACTATTTATAAGTGCTCTGAGACTCAGGGCATGTGTGGGTTGTTGAGGAGTGTGGGTTGATGGTTGGTTGGAGAAAGTGGATTGTTGTATAGCAGACAGTGAATGTTGGTGAGAGTTTGTAAATACAGTTGTCCCTCCAGTTTTGCGGACTCCGAGTCTGCAGTCTTGCTTTTCATGGACCAGCAAGCGGGGAAGGATATACTGGTGTGCATATGCAGGGCCACATGCAGGAATGTGCACCCATTCAAGCCAATGGGGCTTGAATATTTGTGTTTTTTCATTTTGGGGGGGTGGTCTGTAGCGGATCCCTGTGAAAAAGGAGGAGTGACTGTACCTTGTATATATTGCAACAAGAGATAAAAGAGTCTCCAAGGACTTTGGAACAATCCAATGGTCTGTGAATCATTCAAGGTTGGTCAGAGCAATATTGCCAAATACTGCAAACTGAGCTGGTGCTTCTGCACTTTGCTGTTAATAGTTATTATAGCTCTTAACCAATAGTAACATACTCATCACTGCACTTCTCCATATATCACAGGCAATGTATGAACTCATGAGTTAATTTCAGAAATTCCATTTTCAAAATAATTGTCCAGTTTGGACTTAAAATGTACAGATGGAACTTGTTCTGTCTCTGGAAGCCTTCCTTACCTTAAAGATCGCACTGGCACAATGCATTTGAAGCTCTTCTTTGTCACTATTCAGGTTTTTTACAAGGTTCTCAATCATCCTCTCTTGTTTGATTGCAGCTCTGTAACTTGGCTGCAAAGGCAAGTCATTATGTATTAAGTTCAACTGGCAAAGAAATGAGATTAAATATATAAAGTTCCACTAGCAAACAAACTGCTATTGTTCAAAAGACAAAGTGCTACTGGAGTATATCTGGAGTAGAAAGTAATACAGTACTACATACAGTCCAAGACATGTTTATACAAAATTCTTATAAGGGGTGGAATGACAATATGTGGAGCCACTTCAAAGATGACACCATAGCTCAAGGTGTAAACATGGCAAAAGATGTGAAATAGCACTGAGATTCCAACTTGAATAATTCGTTATACAGGTTTTCTTCTCTAATTCGATCAAAGTCTAAACATTGTAAGTTGATTAAATGCTAATTAAAGGCCAAGGTTCCGAGGGAAAAGGAAAAAATGATTTCTCCTGGATTATTCTTGAAATTTCTTGCATTAGGATCCATCAGCCTTGGCCACTGTATATTGTAGTGCTGACTGGAGTTTCATTCCAACCATATCTGGTGGGTCAAAGCCCATCCCTGGTATAGGCAATACCAAGTTGTTTGGTTGTGGTTGTTGCTGTCATAGGCCTTCAAGTCATTTACAGTTTATGACAACCCTAAAGTGAATCTATCAAGGGTTTTTTTTGGTATGAATTGTTCACTGGGAGTTTGCCTTGTTTTGTTCTGAAGCTGAGAGATGGTGACTTCCCCAAGGTCACTAGGTGGGTTTCAATGGCTGAGCACAGATTCAAACCTTGGACTCTAGAATCATTAGTCCAACATTTAAACCATTATACCACACTGGCACTCAAGCTGTTTGGATCCAGCGTTGATTCAGCATAAAACAATGGTTATAAGCCTGTTGAAGATTGTACATGTGTAAGTTCTCCTAAGAAGCACTTAGACATTTCAGTCTGATGTGGGGTAAATTCATTCAGTTCAAGCTTGTGAAAGATGTATATGCAATCTAATTGGACATGGATATGAATTGCACACAGATGCCTCTTTACAAGGAAGAGCACTGCATGTTGAGCAACAATGTGCATGCGTGCTAGCTTGTGCATTCAGTTCCACATCAGATGTCTTGGTTTAGTTGTACAACACTGCCATTCAACACGAGGGTTGCATAGCAGATAATGAGTGACTCTGGAGCTTTACCCTGGAGTAGGATCTCAGCCAGAACACTGCCAGAAAGAACCATTTTTTATTCATTTTTATTATTATAAATTATGGCCATTGACACAAGATAAAATGTCTTTGACTGTTTCATTCATGACTGCATTAAACATATTACTGCAACTGAAAGCTGTTTGATGCCATTATATTCATGCAAACTACGTCATGAAATACTTGTTAATTGTCAATTATATATTTTACTGGATATTGAAATTACAGTTTTTGATGAATCTCTGATCTTGTGTATTTTGTCATCTGCAGTTCCACAAGTTACTGCTCACCTCAGATGCACACTCTTGCAAAGTTCCTACTACAGGTATTAACATATTTGAATGGGGAGATTTGAGTAGCTGAGCCAGCAGCGGGATGCCTCCAGCCTTACGTATTGCTTCTTTATTCTTGGCACTTTTGCTACAGCTCCACAGTGCCAAAGCCCCACAGCGTGCTACTTCAATTTCCTTTCCCTGAGTGGGACTCGCTGATCCTGTGGCTGAACAGTCCAACAGCCCAACCTGATAGAAAGGAAAGATCACATATTGCGTTTAATGAATATAGCAATAAAGGTGATTACATACATTACATACACACCAAGATTGCTTTATAGGCCCTGGGGTGACAATGTAGACATTGTTCTGCTTTCAACAGTGTGGGAGCTGAATGAAGGGGACATTGGCTGTAAAGTACTTTCTGAACCCAATTCATTAAGGTGTCTACTACTTTAAAAGAATCTGATGGCTATTGGGATTGCGCTGAGAATACCTCAACTCATATGGATGACCATTACAATTTTATCAGGGCAGGGTGGCATGCTCCAGCTCTCTGAGAGAAACATTTAGTGACTGATTATAACAGAGCCTTTCAATGGTTAATCAAAGTCTGGAATTCCTTCCTTATGAAACACTACCTGTATTCATAGGGACACAAGAGGCTGCCTTATAGTGAGTCAGACTGCAAGCCCATCTAGTTCAGTATTGTCAACTCTTCGCTGGCAGCAGCTCTCCAAAGTTTCAGGCAGGACTCTTTCTTAGCCCTTCCAGGAGATCCCGGGTATGCCCAGATGGAATCTCATTCAAACACTAATCAGCCCCAAGCCAGTTTGGGGGGATATGGTGATGTATTTCAACTTCTATTTGGATGCTAGTGAAGATACTTTTAGTTCATCCAGTATTTGGCACTTGTAATGTCCTGTTCTCATCAGTTGTTGAATGTTTCAGAATGTTTGAACTGTGCTATTTATATTATGCTGGGTTTTTTAAAATTATTTTCCACAAACAACCTTGAAGAGTTTTTTTTATTACTTAAAAAGAGCAGGTTATAAATTTCCATATGAATGTTTATTTCAACAGAGGAACCTGACTTGCATAGACCAATAGAGTGACATTTCTACCACAGTAAGCAATCAATGGATTGCGTTAAAAATTTATAATAATAATAATAATAATAATAATAATAATAATAATAATACCCTGCCCCTCTGATATAACTTACAACAATTAAAAATACATCAATACATTAAGTTAAAAAGTTTAAGTGAGAGTCAATATCATGTCATATAAATATCTTCCTATTTTTCAAAAAGTTAAAAAAGTCAAATTCAAGTAGAAAAATCTCATGTTCAAACTAATACAGATTATAAAGCCTACTTACAAGCCTTTTAATTCCACCATGTTCTCGGACTGTTTTTCGTGCTCGCCTGAATCTGGCCACATTAGCTATTGTTTCGGCAGCCAAACATTTCAAATCCTGATCTACAGAATCAAGTATCTTCACCATGATCTGTAATCCTCCAAGATCAGCAATTGTACGTCTGATCTGAGCATTCTGGCTAATTTCCTTCAGGATTTTTAATGAACCAATCTATTCAGAGGAAGAAATTTCACAGTAAGCTTTTTTTAATGCATGTTATTTATTTATATAGCACCATCACTGTACATTGTGAATTACAAGGAAAAGAATGAGGGGGGAAAAACAGTTTGACACATAGAATCTGGATGAGACTAAAAGTTTATGGAAATTATTGCACGGGATTTTGTCCCATCATTTTCCCAATGGGATAAAAAAGCGTTTAACTTTTAAAGACAGGTCTTACCACATTCTCTTGTCTGCAGCCCATCTCCACCCATATGTAAGCCGTGCTTGTTCCGTGGCTTTTCAAGCATGGGATTTTCCTGTGCTTGAAAAGCCGCGGGATAAACCCAGGTTGCAGACAGGCTGCAGACAGGCAAATGCAGTAAGACCTGTGTTTAAAGTTAAATGCATGTTTATCCTCTCGGGAAAATGATGGGATAAAAGTCTGTGTGATAATCTCCTAAATTACTCTGAAGCTTATTTGTCTTTCCATGGTACAAAAAATGCCACTATATGGAAAAAGAGATGACATATAAGGCAGAGAGGAAAAGATGAATTGGTGTAGACCTTTTGCAGTCCTTGAAAACAGATTGTTCCCAGAAATGAAAAGCAAAGCTAAGATATAAATGTACTGAACAATGAACAGAATCAGTGTGGGAGCTTTGATAGACAGAAGAGGAAACGTGTATGCAACAAACCCCACTCACTTAAGGATTTTTTGAGTTTTAGCTGATCTACGATAATTCTAGCTAACTTCTTAATTTTTTATTTGTGACATTTCAACAAAGCATATTTGAAGAAAATTCTAAGAATTCTTTCTACAGTTCGGTAGGATGTCTGAAATTATTTCATCATCTTGTCTTTCCCCACTATTTTATATATTCAGAATCACCCTGGGCTCCAGATGTACAAAGGGTAAGAGACTCATAGCTAAGTGCAAAGAAAAGGAGCTATTTCTGTGTGACAGCCATCAACCAAATGAAGCACCAGCCACTCCCAAAGCAAACTCACCTTACATTTGATTTCTTCAGTATCAAGCAAATTAATCAACACTTCAAGCCCTCCAACATCTCGAATTGCCAACTGACACGTTTCTTGAGACAAGTTGAAATCTCTCATTGAACACAGTGCAATTACTGTAGCTGTCTGGTTACCTGCCTAGATAATACAATAATCAATAGCCCGCAAGGTAATATACTGCTTTTACTATACATATTGGCAAAGAAATGGACATAGCTACAAAGGAGACAGACTAATGCACAGTGCATACACAAAATGAAAGAAAGCATTACCCACATTTTAACTCTGTCTGTTAGCATTTCTCCCTTTTAACTTATTGTTGATGACACAGTAAATCAGAGATCCATCACTCACTTTATTTTTGCCCCGCCTTTTCCCCAAAGTGACTTACAAGTTAAAAAAACACAAGTAAAATCATACATAGTGCAGCCCACTGGGTGGTGATGGTAGGTTGGGACATGTTTGGCCCTAGAACTTCAATAGGTACTTGTTGTTAAAACTAAGCAATTGAAACAACCCATGGAAAGGAAAAAAGTTTTAATTTTTGAACTGCTTTTTTTATTTCTAAGAATGAAACAAGATTTTTTAGAATCTTAAAATATGATGTGACACAGATGCTTGAAATACATGCATCAGTACAAGCAATACTTAGCACTATTCAGAAAGTGGCTTGCCTTTTTAACTTTCTTTTGCAAAGCAAGCATGTCTTGCTCCACCAGCTGCTTGCAGTGACTACTTAAACTGCAGAATTTGCTGCCAGAAGATGCTTTTAATAGCTACCAGCTTGGATAGCTTTATTACAGAATTAAATCAATTCTAGCAGCTTGCACTGACATCAACAATATGGGTTAATTCCTGTATAGGTCGCTATGCATAGCCTCACTTACACTGGCCTGAGTTGCACTCTATGTCCAACTGACTGCCCAGTTGTAGCAGTTAACTGGTACACAAACCCTGCCATCACTACTGCACAGGCCACTGCTGAGTATCTATTTCATTACACAAGCAAAACATTGCTACCATAAGATATACTAATTGCTAGAAGTTAATGGTATACCAAACCACTTAGACTATGTTTTTGTATCATATGAAAATCCATACTACACTGGGGTGGGGAATAAGACTATGTGAATTGATTGCTTAGGCAAAAGGCATGATATATAAATAAATAAATAAATAAAAGTTATTATTATTTTAGACAACAAATCCCACCAACCACAGAGAGTAAATGTGAGGGATGATGGGAGTTGCAGTCCAACATCTGGAAGGCTACACACTCCCATCCCCATGCTATATCATCTATTTATTATATGTATAGCTGACATACAATATTTATGCTCATCAAGTAGTTTAAACTACTTATTCACCCACAATAAATCGCAAATAAAAAGTATATGAAAATATAGCACTAGGTTTTTTTCCCCTCTTTCAAAACATCTTACACAGTTTAATCTAGATTTTTAAGGCAAAACCACAGTAAAATATTTTTCATATGCTCTGACACATTAGTTCTATAGCATAACCATTACTACTGGTTGCCACAACAATTATTTTTCTGTCTAGTAGTTATTACAGAAAGTTTTCGAGGACAGATTGTAACCAAGATGGAAATGGTTAGCTCTGTATTAAATGTACACAAAAGCTGCATCAGGTTGTTACAGTCTTTGAAATAGGATACAGCATGTTGGATACAAAATAAATTCTACTGGCATTGCAACAATCAATTTTAAAGCTTTAAATTAAAGGCAGATTTCATTTCTAA